ATCCAGTTGAGTCATAGAACATACTAGGGATGTAAATATAATTTTTTTAAAAGTACCCGATTAAAATTATATTGGTTAATCATTTAATCGTTAATCTACCCCTGGCTTGGGGGGAGCACCCACCCTGCTGTCTCTCCTTGGAAGTGGAGTGCAGTGGGCTGGGGGATCGTTTGTGTATGCAAGGCTGGGCGCCGCATGCCTTGTTCTGATCCTATCCCTCTATCTCCCAGTTACTAAGTGCGCTAGTTTGGCAGATCGCTGCTGGGAAAGCAGTGGTGCCAGGGCAGATCCAGTGGTTCCCTGGCAGACCCACTGCTGCAGCCAGCTGCAAGAGAAGCAGAGCTGGGAGGAGGGGGTTGCCAGGCTGCCCCCAGCAGTGCCCTCTCCACCAGGCACGGGCTGCTCCAGCGATGCCTTGAGTTGGAGCTGCAAGCTCCAGTGCCCCCACCCCCACCGGTATTGCTGTGGCATTTTTAATGTGCACATTAGGTATTACAATGTCACAAAATTATTTTACCAATCGGTTTTAAATGTTAATTGCAATATATTAACGGTAAGACTAATACTTATCGGTTAGGTGTTTAACCGTTCAATATTTCACATCCCTAGAACATACTAGGACATAGGTGCTGACTCCCCGGGGCTGGAGCACCCACAGGGAAAAGTTAGCGGGTGCTCTGCACCCACTGGCAGCCAAGCTCCCCCTCCTCACCTCCTCCCTCCCACCCCCTGAGCACGCTGCATCCCCGCTCCTCTCCCTCCCAGCACTTCCCGTCCACACTCCCCACCCCTCACCGCCTAATAGCCGTTTGGCAGCACTTAGGACTTTCTGGGAGGAGGGGAAGGAGCGGGAACGAGGTGCACTCAGGGAAGGAGGTGAAGAAGAGGTAGAGCAGGGGTGGAGACTTGGGGGAAGGGGGTGGAATGGGGGTGGGAAGGGGACAGGGACTTTGGGGAAGGGGTGGAATGGGGGTGGGGCGAGGGCAGTGCAGGGGCAGGAAGAGGCGGGGAAGATGGGTCCAGCACCCACTGGGCAGAGGGGAAGTCGGCGCCTATGTAGTAGGGTAAATTTTAAAAGTGCTGATGGGGTTAAAAATGCTTCTGTCCCATTAAAGTTAATATACAGAACAGCTAAGTCACTATGTATAGCATTAGAAAAATCTATCTAGCTACCTGAAAGAGGAAGGTGTCAACAGGTGCCACTGTTTCTGTGTTTCTCATTCTAACATTTTCAACCCAAGTATAGAGGTCATCATCTGTCCAGCAAACTTAAGGGTTTTTTTTGTTTTGTCTTAAAGTCATGTAAAGGGGAAGATGTCTTTACCTTAAGTACACATGTTGCTTTAAAGTACAGTGTCATCTCAAACTATATGCTGAACATATGAAAGGACGTACGTGTAGCAAATATTCAGAATACTAATTACATAATTAATTTGGTTTATAAAGTACTTATACTAGAATATTTTCTTGAAGTTCAGATAATACAGAAATGTCACTAAAAATAGAATTCATTAATACAATAACTATAATCAAATCTCACGCCTCAGGGCTTCAGCTAGTCGCATGCAGGGTCAGGAAGGAATATTTCCTCTCCCCATGCACAACTGGCCAAGCGTACTCTCAGGTTTTCGGCCTTCCTCTGAAGCATCACAGATTGGCCAGAGTGGGAAACATAATACAGGATGGGGTGGGGATCAGTGCTCTGAGGTGGTACAGAGAATCTTCTCTTTTAGATGTCTGGCTGAAGTGTCTTGCTCAGGGTCAAACTGACCTCCAGATTTGGGGTCAAGAAGGAATTTTTTCTTCCGGTCAGATTGACAGAGACCTTGAGGAGTTTTCACCTCTATCTGCAGCATGGGGAGTGGATCACCACATTAATGCATCTGACCTAATCAATTCCCTCCCATTGCAGTGGCCTGTTCTCTGTCTTTGGCATACAATTTAGGGCATGCATCCTAAGCATCTGGGAGTGAGCCTCCCAGACAGGTCCACAGACTCACGCTAGCACTCCAAAAATAGCTGTGCCGATCTTGTTTAATATTGCGGCTTGGGTTAACAAGTTCACAGCCCCACAGACCTCAGAGCCTGATCCCCTGCCCAAGCCACAACATTTACACAGCTATTTTTAGCGAGGTGGCACAAGACCCGCTAGCACAAGTTTGCAAACCCAGGCTAGAACGCTCATTCCCAGATGCGGTGTAGACATGTCCTAAGTCTTTTGAGAACTGAAATGCTTGGGTCTAACATCATTAGGCTTAACATTGGGATATCTGGATGAAATGTAATGGCTTGTGTTATGTAGATCAGACAATGATTTGAGGGTTCCTTCTGGCCTTGAACTACCGTATGAATTCTTAGTGCTACATATACTCCTATTTTAAAATGTTAGTCTTAGATTTTCAAGAAGTTGGCCTGATCTCAAAAAAGTCAGTTTCATGTAAATATCTGCCTGTCAAGATGCAATGTTCATCACTTATGAATTCTACCCACAAGCCAGAACAACTTGGGGGGGAAAAATGCAATCAGGACCTTAAGCACTCCCTCAGATCTGCAGGTTAAGTAATTTTATTTACCTACCATCATAAATATAAATGTTATAACAAAAGTTGACATTAAAAAGAAATCAGTTTCTTGGTCAAAGTGTACCTAATTTTAAAAAGAGACACTAAAAGGTGTGAAAGAACCCTTTGTTTATTGTTACCGGCTATGAAGTTATTCAAAGTTTTAAGACAAAACATATACCATGGCAAAAACTTCATTAAGTTATTCCAAGGAATGTTGACACATGGTGAAAGATTTTGCGAAGTTATTCTTAAAGAGACAGATAGAAAAAAAGTGGTCAGCCAAGGCAAGCAGATATTTGGGACCAAATGGGAAAAAAGAAGCTGGCTGTCTCTTTGGAGTAGAGAAGAATCACAGTGGCCCCAACAAATCCACTGCTTTAGTAGTATAAGAGGGGAAAGTAAGGGAGCAGATGCATCCAGGCTATTTGTGACTGAAGAGAGGGAGAAACCAAAAAAAAGGGATAGCAGGCCCTAAGCCACTGCTCCTCTAATAGTAAGGGAGTGCAAGCAAAAAGCGGAGGGCCCAGGTTCAAGAGAAGGGCAGTAGGGGTGGGAGCAACAATAAGAAGGCAGGACACTACTGGTTTAATGTGCAGGAGCAGCAATAACTGGGCACATGGAACTGATTATATAAAACTATTTATTTGGTGGAATGCAGATGTGGTACTTAATTTAAATAGGTGTGGTGGTACAGGTATTTTTCACACAGGCTAGAAGGATCAGTCTTCAGGCATGTAGGTATCAAGGAAGTTTTCAAGCTCTGAGTTTTGTTGTGTTTTTTTTAAACTCACAACTTTCCTCACTTTCAAGAGTGAGAGTACTTAGGATCCAGTCCTGCAACCTTTCACTGCAAAGTGAAGACTGTGCAAGTAACGAGGCTAATCACTTGAGTGAAAGTTATGGAACTGAGCCCTAAAACAGAATTTTTATTTAAGACTTCATTTGTTCCTGCTGCTTATTCCTCACCTGACAATGCTTCTGGTATTACAAGTGGTTGCTGTGAAAGTGATTATGTCATCACAAAGAAAGGATTAGTGACTTCAGGTGAGGAAAATAGGATTTCATCTTCTCCTGCTGCACAGGACACAAAAGATTCTTTTTCATGCAGCAGTCCCTAGTAGATGAGGAGAAAGAGTGATATAAATGTTTTCTAAAATAGTGTTGTTCTTTATCATCAATAAAAAATTGAAGAATGCAATTCAGCTTTGTTTTAAGTCTCCTCTAGCCTTTAGCTGTAAAAAGCAAACGATCTGGTTATCATGCTTCTGAATTCCTATAAGAGTATTTTAAATGAATGCCAGATTTTCATGCTAGTAGCAAACCACAAAGAACAGTTGTGTTGGCTGATAAAAATATTCTTCTCAGAGTCAAAAAAATGCACTTCAAACCACTGCATTTTTTCCAATGCAGGAAATTGTTTTAGATTAAGAAGTATATTTACACCTGAATATTTATCCAGCGCTCGATACCATGATGTCCTTTCTTCAGCATTTAGATCAGTAAAGTAACTGACTAGTAACATGAACCAATGTACTTTTTAATTTTACATATTTATTAAGATTAAAAACTCACCTTCAGATTAGAGTAATAGATGACAAAAACAGAAGATAATCATTAAAGATTACCTTTGATAAAAGATCACCACACTGAGTCTTAAGTGGTGAGATAACCAGACTATAATTAGGAGGGTGTTTCATATTAATGAATACTTTGCAATTCTTCTAATGCACACACACACTATTTCACATCCTAGTTTCAACCAGGACAGACTAAAAAGTGCCATACTTGTACTTATTTTAAAAAGTGCTCAAGGATATATTGAAGATGCTATTCCTGTCAATGTTCACTAATCCTTCCTCACTAGGAGCCCAAGCCTGCAGCCATGCAAGCATCACAACATGGGCTCAGACCCAGCCCAAAGTGTTTGGAACCGGAGGACTCTGTTTAATCTTGTTTTTAAGCTCACAGTTTAAGTGGGGGGGGGGGGGGGGGGAGAGAATGACGTTACAACCCTGGTCCAGCACACTGCCAAAATCCCACCAAACGATTCCCAAACCAAAACCTTTAGCTTTACCACTGACAAGCCTATTATTGGTCCCCAGAGGGTTGTGGACAGGATGGACGATACTCCGCCCACGTTAAACGCGCAGCCTGTGATACAGCACAGCTCACGGATTAGGCAGCTTCCCCACACCTCATCCTGAGCAGGAGGGAACAAGCCTCCTTTGCTGCAAGAAACTGGAAGCAATCCCACGGCCTGAGCAGCTCCAGGGCGGGGGTGGGATCGGCAGGCAGCAGAGCTCACAGCTGGGCGCTGGCTGCTCAGGTGCAGCATCCCAGCAGGGCTGCAGCCGCCCTTCGCACAAACAGCGAGCTCACCGAGCCCCTGAACACACCCCAGCACCCCCCTACCCCGGGCAGGGGCGCGGGGCTCACCTCGGCGGCGGGGATGTTCACCACACCTGTCGATCGCCTCTTCTCCCGCAGCTTCCTCTTCTCGATCTGCCCCTTCCCCTTCCTGGCACTGGGACCGGAGCTTTTCCCCTTCGCCGCCGCCTTCTCCTCCTCCGGGGAGCCGGGCGCGGCGGGGGGCTTCCCCGCAGGCTCGGCCGCTCTGCCCCCGGCTGGGGGCGGGGGCTCCTTGGAGCCGGCTCTGGCGGAGAGGGGGACACCATTCGTGCCCCCGCTGGGGGACGGGGCGCCCCGCTCCGGGGGGTGCGGCGGAGCGGCCAGGCCGGCGGGGTGCAGGGTGCTGTTGAGCTCGGCAGCCGAGGAGGTGCTCCCGGGGGCTTTGCAGTCAGTCCCGGCCGGTGCCCCCGGCAGCGGCGGCGCCTGCTTCGCCCGCATCTTCTCCCGCTTGGCTTTCCACTCCTCCAGAAAGTCCGTGGTGCTGCCCCCGCTGCTCCGGTAGCCGCCGGACGCCATGTTCCCAGCGGGGCAGATGGGCGATGCTCCGGGGGGAGGGGCGGCTACGGACCCAGGCACCAGAGCCTGCGGACAGCACAGGGGAGTGAGTGAGCGAGCCCCGCCCCCGGGGAGCCCCG